CAATTTTTACTTATAATAGTTTTAGTGGGACGATGGTAATTTAGGACAGGGAGAAAGAACTGGAAAGCAAGTAAAAGAGCAAGATTGCCAGCTATTTACAAGAAAAAATATGGCCCGTGGGATCATATATACGAAACAGACGGCTAGGATTGAAGGATAAGCAATTTGCTTTTCATTTGATAGGAATTTACATTTACGAACCTTCTCTTTTAAAAACAACAGGCGCGGGTAGTAGCTTAACCCACAATACAAAACCAACCAACATTCTCACACATTCATTTCACAGAAAATCAACAATGGCAGAATCTGAAGATATTCAACCCTTGGTTTGCGATAATGGAACCGGAATGGTTAAGGTATATCAATCAATCAATCAATGGATCTTCTTCTTAGTCTTCTTCAATTGCTTATTATTCTAACTTCAATCGATTTAATTTGTTGTTTTTGTTGTTGTAGGCTGGTTTTGCAGGAGATGATGCACCCAGGGCAGTGTTCCCCAGCATTGTAGGTCGTCCACGCCACACTGGAGTAATGGTTGGTATGGGACAAAAAGATGCATATGTTGGTGATGAAGCACAATCCAAAAGAGGTATTTTGACTTTGAAATACCCAATTGAGCATGGAATTGTTAGTAACTGGGATGATATGGAGAAGATCTGGCATCACACTTTCTACAATGAACTTCGTGTTGCTCCTGAAGAACATCCTGTTCTTCTCACTGAAGCACCGCTTAACCCTAAGGCTAATCGGGAGAAAATGACTCAGATCATGTTTGAAACGTTCAATACTCCGGCTATGTATGTTGCTATTCAAGCTGTGCTTTCTCTTTATGCTAGTGGCCGTACAACTGGTAAATTACTCCACCTTTCATGTTGCATGTATAATTGTTGGTAGTAAGAAATTTTGCATGAATTGCGGAGACCAATCATTACAGTGATAATAATTTTATAAAATTGAAATGATTGAATTTGCCTTGAAATAGGGCTGGTGCTGTGTACTTTTGTGTAATGAAGGATGAATATGATTCAAAGGGGTAGCTATGATAAAGAATATGGTTTTTGATTGAAATGAGTTGATGTGATTTTTTATGTTTTTTTAGGTATTGTTCTGGATTCTGGGGATGGTGTTAGTCACACCGTTCCTATTTACGAGGGTTATGCACTTCCACATGCAATCCTTCGATTGGATCTTGCCGGACGTGATCTAACCGATGGATTGATGAAGATTTTAACTGAGCGTGGCTACACTTTCACCACTTCAGCAGAGCGGGAAATTGTGAGGGATATGAAGGAGAAATTGGCTTATATAGCTCTTGATTATGAGCAGGAGTTGGAAACTGCAAAGACTAGCTCAGCTGTTGAGAAGACCTATGAGTTACCAGATGGACAGGTGATCACAATTGGTGCTGAAAGATTCAGATGCCCTGAAGTTCTGTTCCAGCCATCGATGATCGGGATGGAGTCTCCTGGTATCCATGAGACCACATTTAACTCAATTATGAAGTGTGATGTCGACATTAGAAAGGATCTCTATGGTAACATTGTCTTGAGTGGTGGTTCCACAATGTTCCCTGGTATTGCTGATAGGATGAGCAAGGAAATTACAGCATTGGCACCTAGTAGCATGAAAATCAAGGTTGTAGCACCACCTGAGAGGAAGTACAGTGTTTGGATCGGAGGCTCCATTTTGGCATCCCTCAGCACTTTCCAACAGGTAAAGTTGACGGATTTTGAAATGATAATTCAGAAAATAAATCACAACATTTCATTAATTAGTACAAGTTATAAAATGTATTTACCGAGGCTTAATTGAGTCATTTCTAATGTGTTCCTTTCTGAAATGTTTACTTTTCCTTATGCAGATGTGGATTGCGAAGGCAGAATATGATGAATCTGGGCCATCAATAGTACACAGGAAATGCTTCTAAGTTAAGTTATGGAGCATGAGAGATGGATCAAGGAAATTACAATATATACATTGTACTAAAGAAATACCATCTAAGTTGGTTGAGGAAATACATTTCCTATTCTTTTACCATTTCTATTATCAAGTTTCTTTGTGTTTTCCTTTCTTGATATGTTGGGATCTAAGAGCATGAAGACTAGCAAGATATGTGAGATTCAATTTTCCCCTCATTTTGTTGCAGATATGTGTATTGTTACTGATTTTGGTCTTTTGGTCAAGTGTTCTGATTGGCCTAGTGGTATGTGTTCTATTTATAATTCTATAAACAAAAAAAAGTCATTGGTAATCACTTTCCAATCTTCTATCTTGATAATTTATGATGCCTTACAATTCATATGCCAACTTGGTAAACAGGAGAGATAGAGAAAGAAGATTTTTCAAATCTCTCCTAAAATTTATTTACATTTTCTGACTTATTGATTTGTTTGCCAAAATACTAGAAGGTAAACTGAGTTAAAATAAACTCCCATGAGCCTTTAACACTGCATGGTTCAAATTTATTGAAGCAAATATTATTCGTGGATGCCAGAGTTCCTTTTGAATATCCGAATTTTTACAATAGTGGTCTCTGACCATTTTCGTAACACAATCTTTTAAATGGATCAACCCCTTTCGAAAATCAAGCACAGCGCGTGCTAGTCTCCAACGTTGGCGAGATAGTGTCCCTCTCTGTATAAAACAAATCAGACAACCTGAACAATAAACCCTTCCTGTGTTTCAGAAACAACTTGCCTCATAATATCTTCAGACATATTGTTGTTATTCCACTGAATATGGTCTGCATATATCAGTTCATTTCGTCGTCAAACTTCCATTATATTTCATACATAGATCGGTGCTATACACTACACATGAAATATAACTTTAGGAAAGCTCGAAAAATCACCTCTATGCAAATATATTACATGTCTGATATTTTTTTTATACTATATGCTTGCTTATTCAAAAATATATCTATACATGAGTGCTGTAAAACAGTAGAAATGTTTTTAAATTAAGTCAGAAGCATAATCATTGTCGAACTTACAACAGAAACTGAGTAAATGAAGAAACTGTGTGTTGTGTCACACATTCGTTTTGTTATAGAAATATGTAAACTCTGATGGTAGATCTGCATAATCATTGCAAGTATAAGACTTGATCTCAGGCCTCACACCACTCGGCCCGTTGTTGAAAAATACAACGATCACAGTGATATCATCATGGTAAAATGGTCTAATTCTGTCATGTACACAACCAAAATCTCCACTAACACCACTTCCCTTCGGAATCTCTATAACGTCACTGTATTTTTTCCTTTTTTCATTAGCCCCCTTCTCTATAGCAACCGTGGCAAGTATTTTCGCAATATTATCTTGTGGACTGGTGTTAACAATTCTAGCAGCAAGCTCGTTTGACATCAATTTCCAAAATCCGCTAGATCCAAATATAATGAAACTATCAGTGTCTTTTAAGACTCTTGAATAAACTTCTGGTTCTGATGTTAGCAAAGGTCTTGAAAAAGCCGAAACAACTTGTTCTCCCATTGGGATTTTGAACGTTCTCCTTTGAGTAAACGGAACCTTCTTCATGTATGCATATCCTATACATCTGCTTGTCTGGATTAAGCCTTTCATAGTCCATATTCGACCTTTGCAAATATGAGAATGCACCTCATCGCGTAATTCATTTAGTTCGTAAATAAGATTATCATCTGGATGCCATGTACGAAGTTCTTTTCTAATATCCGAATTTTCACAATTGTGAACTCTGACCATTTGCTTCACACACAATCTTTTAAAAGGACCCACACCCCTCCGAGAACCAAGTACAGCGCGCGAGTCTCCAACATTGGCAAGATATAGTGTCCCTCTCCATATAATACAAATCAAACAACCTGAACTAACTAAACCTATCTGTTCCTGATGTTGATGCTCAAAACTACTTCTAGCAAACTCCATAAACCCGTTTTCGATTTCCTCAACAGCTTCCCTCAAAATAGTCACAGTCATATTGTTATTATTCTCTGTAATACGCCCTGCAATTTATAACCATTGTAATGATACTAAGAAAATAACACACACACATGAATGAAAATGCTAACAAGAAAGAAACAAAGAAAGAAAGAAGACTCACTCAATAGAGCCTTAAACATGTGTTTACGGATATAGATGGCTGCGGTGTCGCCTTTAAAGCCATCATAAATTCCAACAAAGAGTGCATCATGGCCAACATCAACATGGCTGTGATCTTCCATATCCTCATTTGACTGAACTGCAGCCATGGAAAATTCGCCACAGTAATGCCTATCAAGTCTCATCGATCTCGCGAAAGGGTCATTATTAAACGTTTCAGTGCTAACGTGATACATTTTGTAAGGGATCGAGATCCCGAAAAGTATACATTTTAGAAACAGACTCATGATATTGTGTTTTCACATTCTGAAGACGAGAAAGTGTGATTAGAGAATGAATGAAGGAGAAAGCAAGAGGTTAAATGAGTGGTGAGTTTGTGGAAATACAAATCTGAATCTGGTTGACTGAATCATAGTATTCAAATGTAAAGATTTATAGTATTTTTCTTAAATAATTATTTATATAGTCAATATTTTTATAACAATTTGTCTGATATATCAAATTGTATCTAATAATAAATAAATCATCTCCAGATAGATCGTTATTTATTTTATACATGCAACAAAGTTTATAATATTTAGAAAACTCTTTAATAGCTTCTGATTTCAAATCCATCGCCAGACGAGTTTGTCGCACTAGGCGATACGATGTAAACACACGCATGGTCGAACTGGTACGCAAAGTGAGCTCAGTTCCTCTCTAGACAATATAATACATCGGGTAACCGCACATGAATCAAACATGGTCGCTTGACGAGCTAAGTTTTGTCGCGAGGCGAGAATAGGAAGAAGCAATAAGCTATATTTGCAATTCTTTTTTTGGCAATAAATAAACAACATTAAAATGTTTCATTCAACAGAACTGAGTAATCATTGTCACACTTACAACAAAGCCGAGTAAATGAACAAACTGTGTATTTTGTCACACATTCATATTATTATAGAAATGTGTAAACGCTGATGGTTGATCTGCGAAATCACTGCAAGTATAACATTTGATCTCCGGCCTCACACCAGTTGGCCTTCTGTCGAAAAATACAACAATCACAGTTATATCATCATGATAAATCGGTCTAGATCTGCCAGGTTCCAAACCCCAATTCCCGCTAACTTCTTCTCCCTTAGGAAGCCCGACAATGTCACGGTACTTGTTTCCCTTTTTACCAGCCCCCTTCTCTATAGCAATTATGGCTAGTCTTTTCGCGATATCATCTCGTGGACTGCGTATAACAATTCTAGCAGCAAGCTTATTTGACATCAATTTCCAAAATCCACTAGATCCAAATATAATGAATCTATCGGTGTCTTTTAAGACTCTTGAATAAACTTCTGGTTCTGATGTTAGCACAGGTCCTGTAAAAAGTGAAACCACTCGCTCTCCCATCGGGATTATGAATGATGTGCCCACAGTAAACAGTTTCCTCTTCATGTATGCATATCCTATACATCTGCTTGTCTCTATTAAGCCTTTAACAGTCCACGATGGATCTTTGTTCGAATAATATTCATGTGCAGGGTACACTTGATACTCACTTATATGGTGCACTTGAGTAAATTCACAAATATGTGGATCACGTGGATACATTGCTTGGAGTTCATCTTGAATATCTGGATTTTCACAACTATGATCTCTAACCATTTGCATTACGCGCAATCTTTTATACCTATCTCCCTTAATAGAACCAAGTACAGCGCGCGAGTTTCCAACATTGGCAAGATACAGTATGCCTTTCCATATAATACAAATCAAACAACCTGAACTAACTAAACCTATCTCTACCCGTTGATGATTTTCCTCGTAAATATTTCTAGCAAAGTCTTGAAATCCATTTTCGATTTCCGCAACAACTTCCCTCAAAATATTCACAGTCATATGGTTATCATTCAGCTCAATACGCCCTGCAATTTATTTCCTCATCAAACTTCAAGACAATATATACTACATGTCAGATAGACCAAAAGTACAAAAATTATTCGCAATATAGCACCACAAGCACAAGAAAACATTCTCCATCTTCTCAGTTCTTTGATATACAATCACATAATTCCACATCCACATTCAAAGAACAGTCACATCACAATATATACATACACACACGTAACCGAAAATGCAAACAAGAAATAACCAAAGAATGAAAGAAAACTCACTCAATAGGGCCCTAAAGATGTTTCTACGGATATAGAGGGCAGCGCTGTTGCCTTTAAAGCCATCATAAATTCCAACAAAGAGTGCATCATGGCTAACATCAACTTGGTTTTGATCTTCCAAATCCTTATTTGACTGAACTGAAGCCATGGAGAATTCGCCGCTGTAATGCCTTTCAAGATTCATCGACCTCGCTAAAGGGTCAGCATTAAAAGTTTCAGTGCTGACACGATAAGTTTTATTGAAAGGGAACGGGATCCCGAAAAGTTGATATTTTAGAAACAGCTTCATGATCTCGTGTTTTCACTTTCTGAAGACAAGAAAGTGTGATTAGAGAGAAAAGATTGAAGGAGAAAGGAAGAGGGTGAATGAGTGGTGAGTGTGTTGAATGATTGAAGGATGGTTGATTACTAGACTACTAGAATGTATTTATATAACTGAAAATCAAATAATATGGTAACAGAAAAATGACAAGTCTCAACAGAAATATACAACTGAATTTAACTAACTCTTCTGTAAATAACAACTCTCAACAGTAATATATAACTGAATTTAACTAACTCTGTTGTAAAATAACTGAATTGATAAGTAGTTAAGAATGTGATGTTGTTGTTTCAATTGTGAGCATAAGAACTGTTAGAATTTTAAATGTTGCGCCATCAAAAGGCCGTATTTCAACTGATGTTTCTTAGGATTGGACTCACATTTCATAATACCGCTCTCATACTTAGGGCCTATCTCTAATTCTCAGATATTTGAAGGACTATTTATCATTTTGATATAATTTACTAGAGTGTGATAGTTGAAAGTTTGTAATAATGACTAGCAAGTCAACCTCCCACTATGTCGGAATTTGGTACAGTTATTTGCCAATCCAAACTGTTGCTTGGGTCGCAAGCTAGAGATAGCCCTATCAATGACAACTCTTTGATTCTATCAATCAAGTCAAATATAGCACAATCTCGTAAATAGAAAACCTTGTTCTGATGTTAAATGTGTTAGAATTAATTTAGATTTTATAATTAATTAGATATTAATTTATATTTAGGAATATCTTTTAGATTGTTTATATCTTTGTTAGAAGATATATATCTTAGATCTTCTTATATCTTTGTTAGAAGATATATTTTAGATTTAATTTTGTGTATAAATAGCTTAGTGAAGTAGGTTATTGTAATTCATTGTAAATCCTTATTTGAAGTTGTCAGTAAATATTCCTTTTGCCTTTTACCTTCCTTGTGCATTAACAATTGGTATCAGAGCTCCTGGTTAGAAACCTTGAGATTTGAGAAACATTGTTTTCATTGAGTTTCCGCGTATTGCACAAGGTAGAAGATGAACGGAAATGACGATAATATTTATTCCAAGCTTCCAGTATTTGATGGCAAAAACTGGAATCGTTGGAAGATCCAGATGTGAGTGTTATTTGGTGTTCAAGATGTGTTAGATCTTGTCACCGATGACTATGATCTGTTAGAAGCAGACGCAACAGAGGCACAGAAGATAGCACAGAAGGCGCTGAGGAAAAAAGATCAGAAGGCGTTATTCTACATCCATCAATGTGTGGATGCGAATGTGTTTGAGAAGATTGATGATTCTGAAACAGCGAAGGCTGCATGGGACACACTGGTCAAATGTTACGGTGGTGACGCATCAGTGAAGAAGGTGAAGCTTCAGTCTCTCAGAAAGCAATATGAGAATCTCAACATGAAGGACAACGAGAAGGTTTTTGAATACGTCTCTAGAGTGATTCTGATCACTAATGAGATGAAAGCTTGTGGAGAAAATCTGTCTGAACAAGTAATTATTGAGAAGATCTTGAGATCTTTAACTTCTCAGTTTGATTACATTGTGGTAGCAATTGAACATTCCAAAGATCTGAGCACCATGAGAGTTGAAGATCTGCAAAATAGTCTAGAAGCGCATGAGTTGTGTATGACTGCAAGAACTTCTGAGAGGGAAGTAGAGCAGCAGGCTCTGAAAGTAACTTCTGGTAAGAAGCATCAGAAGCAGACTTGGTCAGAAGCTGGGAAAAAAACTAATGGTGGTCAAAGGTCAGAAGCTTTAAACTCTGATAGGCAGAAGAATGTCCAGAAGGGAAATGAGAATGAAGATGTGAAAAACACAAGAAGGGGGAGTTGAATTGTAAAACTTAAAACAAATGGTTTGACAATACAATATTTTTATCCTGGTTCGTTTGATCTCAAACTACTCCAGTCCACCCGTCAAGGTGATTTCGCCTCTCTCCAACGAGGTCTTAATCCACTATTTTCAAAGGATTACAACAGCTACTTTAACAACTGTTAAAGTCTTCTTGTGTACAACCACCGACCGGTTTATCTCAAGGAAATCTTTTACAAATAATTGAACAAGGATGTGTTAACGTTTTCTAACAAAACAATATATCACAATTGTGATAATTACACAACTTAAGCTTGGAATAAACTGGATTTTCTAAAGCGTTTGAATAAGCGTGGTTTTGAAGGCTTGGAAAATTATGTGAGTGCATGCCTGTGTCTTTTATCAAGCATACTTGTTTATATAGGCAATGCAAAGATACGTTGTCCATAAAGCCAGTTTAATGATAATAACGCACTTTCCTTTTGAAGAAGATCTTGTCTGAAGAGAGTCGTTAGCATTTAATTCTGTCTTGAATAATTAATAACGCTTCAGAGTCTTCTTTGCTTTAACTTATGATAACGCTTCAGAGTGTTGATGACTTGGTAAAGATCTTTGATCAGAGTCAGAGTGTATTTGTTTATGTGCAGATTCTGGTCATCAAGTTTCAGCGTATAATCTGGTAGCTTCAGCGTGTAGCACATATTACTGATCTTCTGATGTTGATTCCATCAGAACTTCTGTATATACAAAACATAATTTTAAGAAGCATATTTGTTTTATATATATATCTTTGAATTTATTTATTCTTTGTATTTTGTTATCATCAAAACTCTAATTAAGGGTTGTAGAATCAAACTATGTTCTAACAATCTCCCCCTTTTTGATGATGACAAAAACCAGATTTTTTCATTTAAACATAAAGAATAAAAAGTAGAGTTAAGAAGAGAAACTCCCGCTGAGTTGATTACTTCCCTTTAATTCCATGAGTCTTTGAGCATCAGAACCTTACAGTATCTTTCATCAGAGTTTTGTACCTGTTCAAGCTTTTCAGAAGAGAGAAATTTAAATAGATCAAAATGTCTGAGACTTATGTCTCAGTAATCCGTTATTGAAAAAATATCTTATTATTCTCCCTCTTTTTGTCAGTTATCAAAAAGAACATATAATCAGAGTTAAAATGCGTTTATATTAAAACCAGAAGCAATGTATGAATATTACAGATAAACATGTTTTAAAAATGAGGAAATTCTAAGAGGGATGAGGAAGACGTGTGAACAAAGCTTCCAACATGCTCTTGATCTGGATGTTGGTTTCCTGTTGCTTGGTTAACATGCTCGTGATTGCATCAATTTTTTCGTCCTGTTTATCCATTCTTTCCTTCACTAAAATATCAGATCTTTTCAGGTCTTCTAGAGTCTGCCTTTCATAGGAGGAAGCTTGAGAATCTTCAGTAACTGGATGCTTCTCAGAGCATTCTCCAATGTCCTATTTTTGACCCAGTTCTTCAGCAGGAATCTTCTACTATGGAGTATCAGTTAGATTGAGATCTTCTGACTCTGGTTGAACTTTGTATGCTGGACGATGTTCAGACCAGGGAGCATTGTCCAGAGGGAGAACTTCTTCCTTGAGCAGATGGCTCAGAACTTGATCTTCAATTACTTTTAGTAGATTACTGAAGTTCTATTGAACTTGTCCGTAGCTCTGTTCTTGCATCTTACGAGTTTCAGAACATACCCATCTTCTAAACCTTGTCCAAAGGTAGTCTGATGCAGCAGGATCAATCAGCTCAAGACTAGCTTGCTTTAGAGAAGTGATCCACTTCTGTACTTCTGTTTCAAATATCAATAAGCTGGTACCAACATCTAGAGAGGGTTCATATGATTTTAGTTTTGGAATAGATGTTTTGTGGGTTATGGCAGCAAGACGTTCAAAAACCGTTAAATCAATGACAGTCTTGATGTTGTCATCTGGATTGTTCTTTGGTGAGGAAGTGGGAGAGTATGGAATTATTATTGGACTGGTTGGGGAGTTTGGTGGAGTTGATTCTAGTGAAGAGGGAATTTGGGAAATATCCAGAATAGTTAGGGGCATACGAATTGCCAGAGGTTCAGTGATTCCAGGAATGAGAATGGTATCAGAATCAACAGTTTGGTTTGATTGATCGTTATGAGGTTCTGGTTCACAGAATTCAGAAGGTTGAGCATCAGAGTTTTAACTTCTGGTTGAAATAGTTCAGGTTGTGGAGAAGGTGGATGAATTTCTGGTTGGGAAGATGGAGGTAGTGGTATTTCTGGTTGTGGAGAGAGGGGAATTTCTATTTGTGGTGCTTCTGTGGTGGTTTCAGAGTTTGGATTTTCTAGCATGGGAGCAGAAGTATGTTGGTCAAAGGTTTCTATATCTGGTAGAACTTTTGCAAGTTCTTGTTGGGTTGCTTCAATATTTGGATTTGGAGGTAGGGAGCGAGATCTTCTAAGAGTTAAGGTTTCTGAGGGGTCGAATTCAATGTCAAAGTCATCAAATGTTTGTGGTGTGGGGTTTTCTGATTGAGTGGGAATTGGTATAGATGTTGATACAGAAATTGAGTTTAAAACAGTTACAGAAGAAGGATTACCTCTCTTTTTAGGAGTCCGATGGGATGATCCTTCTGTTGCAGCTTTCCTTTTCTTATTTTTCTTCAGCACAACTTCTGGAGCCTTCTGCTGCAGATCCTGAATGTTCAAATCTGGTGTTGTACCATCCGCCTTGCATGCATCCAGATATCTGACTATTATATCAGGTTTAGAATCAATCTCTAAGAACAAGGGAAAGTTATCCAGAGGGATTCTTCTGCTGGAGATTGTTTCAAAAGAAGTGACACTGGGTTCCTTCTTGATGTTCTCAATCAACTTCATCTTCTTCAGATTCTTTGCATTCAACTGTTTGCCAACAGTAGCTTCCAAAGAGCTGATTTCCTGAGCCTCTGTTAGATGATCAATCAACTTATTCTCTGTTAGAATATCTGATATAAGCCTTCCTAGGGGTATCCAGTCCCTTTTTGTGCGCTCATCTTCTCTGGTTTCTTTAACACTAGTCCTTAGATGGTTAAACAACAGATGAGCCAGATTCACCTTAATCTTCTGGGAGATGAAGTAGATCAGAAATTGCTGATCGATATTGATGTAGTCAGGAGA